GTCTGGAAATGAACTCATCCCCATGGCCCAATTTTCAGTCAAATAATAACTAGTTCTATAAAGGGACCAATAACACTAGAGAGGCACCCACGCTTCCAAATAATAGCCATTTGAGACCAAAAGGGCAGCATTTACCCAACGTTAAAGTTCAGAAGGGTAAATAAGAAACAGGGAACATGAGAGGGAGTAGAGTAGGAGTTGTTACTTTGTGGAGACTGCAATGAAAGAGAGAAAGCAAACTGTGTATGAGTTGTTGAATGTAAAATTAATGAGCTGCTATAAACATACACGAAATTTACAGTATGAAGTTGTTGTTTTTTTCTAATGAAGGAAAAAAAAGATAATGCCTTTTCTCTGGTACTTCTCACAAAGAGCGGTATTCATCCTTCTATTACAGCCTTTCTCAAGGAGGATTCTATGAAAGAATGAAGCCTTCCAGAAAACCCTTTGACTCTTTTCTCATTTCTTCTAAGATTGATACAGAGTGCCATTTGGGATGGAGAGGGGATACGCTAATTCATTACATACTCTGCTGTGAGATGGATTATATCCAGCGTATATCCCAAGAGGGAAATTGTTAGCTGTGTGTGTGTTAATGGAGTGGAGCAAGTAGGTTGCTAGCTGGAGGGCTCAGCACTATGCCTATCGTCAACTTTCATTTGCTCTTGATGCGTTTTAAAGGATGTTATATAAGAACAGTCTGTTTCCCAGCAGCATTTAAAAATACATATGGCCAGGGAGAAAGAAGGTTGTTGATAATCTTTTCTCCAGCTAGCTGCTACTCCAAACCCAAACTCATTGCCACTGACTCAATTCTGACTCATAGCGACCCTGTAGGACCAAGTAGAACTGCTCCTGTGGATTTCTGAGACTGTAACTCTTTACAGGAGTAGAAAGCTTCATTTTTCTCTTACAGAGCAGCTGGTGGGTTCAAACTGCTGACCTTGTGGTTAACATCAAAATGTGTGACCCACTATGCCATCAGGGCACCTAAATACAGGTTGGGAAATTTTATCTTGGTCTTAGTGGTTGGTTGATTTGTTTGTTTTACTTAAATTAGTAAAAATATGAAAGGAAATTGGTGAACAAGGTACCACTCACTCACTGCCATCCAGTCAACTCTGACTCACAGTGACCCTATAGGACAGGGTAGAATTGCTCCTGAGATGATAACTGGAGCCCTGGTGGTATAGTCGTTATGAATTTGGCTGCTAACCACAAGGTCAGCAGTTCAAAATCACCAGCTTCACTGTGGGAGAAAGGTGAGGCTTTCTACTCCCAGAACCCCACAGGGTCAGTTCTACCCTTATTTACAAGTTCACTATTAGTCAGAAACGACTTGATGGCCGTGAGTTTGTGAGTCTTAACTACTAATGGGAGCAGAAAACCTCCTTTCTCCAGCAGAGTAGCTGGTGGTTTTGAATCACTAGCCTTGTACTTAGCAGTTCATTATGTAGCCCACTTGTCTAGTGTCTTTTGAGTCAGGAATTGTTAAACGGAGGGACTCCTTGAACTAAGTCAAGAACGAATTTGGTCATGATAAGCACTATTGCCCAGAGACCTGCTACTGGCAGTGATCAAAGATATTTTTACAGACTATGTGTGGACCATGCATTCAGTACAGAGAGTGTGGCCTGTAATTGTTTACCCTGATTGGTCCAGAGAGACTTCTTCCCAAAGTTTGTGGTAGAGAATCCAGTTGAGGAGACAAAAAGTGCTGTTGAGTGGATTTCAATTCCGTGAAGGCTTTCAAGCCCCTGTTAACTCTTGACCAAAGTCTGTCAGTGAGAGAAGAGATACTAGGCATTAGGCCTAGTCTAGCATTCTAAAGGTTGACAGAGTTCTTCAATCATCATAGTTCTTTCCATAGGAAAAGCAGACTGACGAGATGGCATATTGTACAATGTTCCTTATATACTTTTAGACCTCTGCTGGACATAAATGGAATTCTACATTAGTTTGTTTTCATTGTATGTCAGGGCTTCCCAGGCTGACATACTCAATCACTGATAAATCATCAAGAGTCACAGAAGAATATAAGGGGACTTCAAAAGGTTCTTGGGAAAATTCCATTATCCTTTCATTCCATTTCCTCAGGCTTTAGAAGCACCCTCGTCATACTCTACAGCATCTTGAGGATGTGGGGTGGGTGGAGGGCTGGGGGAGAGGAGATTCAGCCTTCACGGGTCATGTAATAGACCTGTAAATGCTGAGTTTCCATGCTAGCTGGTTGCTCAGAAGGGGCTGGGAGGGAGCACCTTTTGTGTATTTCAGCCATTTGAATGGAAGTTTTCTTTCTTTCTCTAATGTCACCTGGCAAGGACTAGATGAGGTACGGTAATTGTTTTTAATGTGAAAGATGCTTCTACATGTAAGAACATTCTCTCTCTTGTAGCTCTATCGTGGCCTACCAGCCAGCTGGAGACAACAGCCACACCTTTGATGTGACAGCCATGTTCAAGTCTATTGGGATTTTCCTTGGCATCTTCAGCGGATCCTTTGCAATGGGGGCTGCTACTGGAGTGGTGACGGCTTTAATATCCTTTGGTTGCATTGGTCTTTCTGTATTCACCCAGCGAAGCCATTGAATGCCATGGTAATTCCACATAATTTGGATTGTTTTATACTTATTGACCCTATAACCATGTTGGAAAACATGAGGCAATAATAGTTACCAAGTAAATGAACAAGCGTCACTTTTGCCTAGGGCTCAGTGCCCTAGAGCTTTAGCTATACAAGTCCAATGAGATGCAGTGACCCTTCGGGAGTGCAGTTGAAGGTTATAGATTGAATTCATGTAAACGTCGAGACAGTTCTGTGCTCCAGCTCAGCCTGGCAGTCTTTTGCTATTTGCTTAACAGGACAGATCGGAGGCACCAGGACAAAGCTGGTGCCAAATGAACAGAACGCAGCAACTGGGTTGAGCTATATGGGAGTACATCTTAGGTCTTCCCAACTTCAATGTTTCTGCGCTGGAGCCCTGAGCTGGGAGCCAAAGGAACCTAGGTTTAGTCCCATCGCTGCTGCTGATCAACTCTTAGAAATATTGACCCAATCATTCTTGCACTCTTTCAAGAACCTTTTCCTGAGAGCTAGTTTTATGCCAAAGGCTATGGTAGGTGCTGGGTATTCAATGATACACAAGTTACACATGGCCCCTGCCTTCCTGGAGCTCAGGGCAGAGTACTTAACACACACTTGTTTGCTGTTTACACTTCATCTCTTTGGACTTCCGTGTAAGAAAGTGAGGGGAGGGCAGGGTGGTGGGAAGGTGATTGAGACTGGATGAGTTCTAAACTCCAGCTAAACCCACTGTCCTGGAGACTCAATAGTGCTCATATATAGGGTTGGTAAGGTTGTAAATCATTGCAGGAACATATAGCCTCAACTCTCCCATGGAATACCTGGTGGGTTTTGAACTGCCAACTTTGAAGTTAGCAGTTCAAGGCTTACCCGAAGTGTCCCCTGGGCTCCACAGAGGCTCCAACTCTAACACTTCTAAGCCACTGTTATATAAAGCAAATAACCTGACAGGCTCTCTTAAGTTTGCCATAAGTTTGCCTTGTGGCAGAAGATACTGGTCTTACGGACTTTGATAGGTGAACTGAAGCTCAAAGGGCAGGGGAACGAAGTCTGAAGCAGGAACAGGAGCCAGGCCAGAGCGTGCCACTTCCTCACTGCCACCCATGCTCCCTGGGCTGGGAGTAGGGGTGTGTCTTGTTAGTCATTTTATCATGGGACAGTTTGTGAAACTGACTCTAGATTCTCACCTGAGATGTGTCGCAGAGAAAGGAACAGGGAGATTACTACTATCTCTGAATTTAAACCCTCACAAGGAGTGACTTTGTCAGACACATGTCTTAACATGGCTGCTACAAACAAATACTTCTGGAGTAGTCTTAGTGAGTGAAGTGCTTCCGTGTCTTCCTCTTAAAATGCCCCACGTCATGGGGGCCTGAGAGAAAAGTAAAACTGTGTGGCATTTGTTTTGTTTTTTAAATTTGTTTTTTAATCAACACAAATTGCTATGATTAGGGCTACGCTGTCTTGCTTTGGGTTGCAAATGAATAGAGTTCAGATGTTCTGTGTCTTATCCATAGCTCTGGTGCCTTCCTGTCCTTTAGTGTCTGGCTTCTGGCCAGATATACATTACTCATAAAACAATTGGCCCGACTACGCTGTCAGATGTCCTCACTGAAAGGGGCTACTGACTTCTTGGCACGATGCCCATTGTCAGAGTTTGCTTCACTTTGGTGCCTCCTCATTCTGTGATTCTTTTTTTCTGGGGGTGGGAGGACAACTAGAGATGACCCACCGTGCCTCTTGTTTTTATAGTGGCCTTGCTGTTATTTGTGTAGCCCCAATTCTGTATTATGGGTTCTTGTCAGCAACCTTAACAGTCTTACGTAACAAAGTTCACCAAATTACGGGAGTTCCAGTTGTTGGAGACCGGCTTGTTCTTCTTAATGTCCTGGAGTACCTTTCTCTTGGCTGAAGCGTGGGGTTTCACAGGTAGGTTACTTTTTCTTTATGATTTTAAACCAGGGTTTCCCAAAGTGGGCAATAACCCCTCCTGGGGTGGAGGCCTGCCAAAGCAGATACCTATACGTGATTCTGGATTGTGGGATATTGTATGAAAGTTTTTAATTGCCACAGGGGCTCTGAGTTGTTGTTTTTCTGGAAAAGGGATGGTGGGCTAACTAACTTTGGGAACCTATATATGTTTTTAACCCTCATGTGAAGTGACTTCGTCAATCACTTGCTGGACATGTAGACCAACTCTACTGTTATCTGAACACACTCACCATGGACTGTATGTATTCACTGAGGAAGATAAGATGTTCCTCATCACTGGTTCCTCTCAACAAAGGGAGTCCGAAATTGAACCTTTAAGCATAGAACTTACTTCTTTAAAAATGAGGACCTGCAGTTAAACAAGTTGGGAGCTGCCCTTGGATATGAACTTGGAACTTATTTCTCTTTTCTAGGTGTGGTCGCAGTATTGTTTTGTGGCATCACACAAGCACATTATACATACAATAACTTATCCACGGAGTCTCAGCATAGAACTAAGCAGGTAAGAGGAACTTGTTCCTTTGTGAATCAACTTTTTCTCTAGGCATTAAAATTTATATATATATATATATTATTAAATATATATATTTATATATATTATATTATATATCATAAATATATTTAATGTCCCCAAATAAACTTTAAGGAGCCCCAGTGGCAGAGTGATTTTGCATTGGGATGCTATGATGTTAGTAGTTCCAATCCACCAGCTACTTTTTCTGATTTCTGCTCCCTTAAAGATTCACAGCCTCTGTATAACCCCCAGGGGCAGTTCTACTCTGTCCATAGAGTCACTGTGAGTCAGAATTGACTTGATGGCAATGAGTTTTCTTTTTTTAAAATAATCTTTGATCTATTTAAACCATAGTTTACTCGTTTCAGCTCCTTGTACTTCAGCTCTAGAAATAGGTGGGGCAGGCTAGTTAAAGGCTAACTGCTTTAAGAGTAGATGATGAGCCAGGCAAATAGCCAGGAGCTATTATGAGTATGGCTGCGATAGCCAGTCAATTCACTTCTGTTTCTGTGGCGTGTTTTCCCAAGTTAGTGGCTTCTAAGAGGACTATTGAGGAGCCCTGGTGGTGTAGTGGTTCTTTGGACAGCTACCCACAAGGTCAGCAGTTTGAAACCACCAGCCCCTCTGTGGAGAAAGATGAGGCTTTCTACTCCTGTAAAAATTACAGCCTTGGAAACCCTATGGGGCAGTTCCACTCCACCTTGTAGGTTTACTATGGGTCAGAATTAACTCCACAGCAGTGGGTTTGCTTTTTGTGGATTACAGGAATTTTACTTAGGTGACGTGTCAGTTTCATTATCTTAGTAAGACTCATGTTTTCAAATGATGCAACTGCATTTGGTTACTGGACTAACCTTTTAATTTTGTTTCAGTTGTTTGAGCTTCTCAATTTCTTGGCAGAGAATTTCATCTTCTCCTACATGGGCCTGACACTGTTCACCTTCCAGAACCATGTCTTTAACCCAACATTTGTGGTAGGAGCATTTGTATCCTTTACTGTGCAATCTCTTTAGAAAACGTCTTTGAAAATGGAAATATTCGTGTGTTATTAAGGAGTGGCGTGGTTGCTAAGAGTACATTGAAATATGTAACAGTTTTCCTGTGCGGAAACCAAAGGATGTCACCCTTTTGGCTTTCTATTCTCAAAATACTAGAATGTCAATTTTGCTTATTGCATAAATAATATTGACAGATTGAAATGACAGATATCTACTGTCCCACCAGAGAAAACTGCTGTCCCCTATTATTAAAGGAGAGAATGGATACTGTCTATCAGTTATCTATTATGTAACAAATTACCCTAAAATAGGTAAAAGATGGTGAGAGGTGGAATAAGGCTGCTCTTGTTTCTCTCTATCTCTGTCTCTGGTATCTCTCTTCTTTTCTCTGTTTCTTATCCCCCTCCCTACCTCCATGAGCAAATTGAGTCTGAAAATGAGAAAAACAGCTGACAGGGAAAACTGGGTCTATGAAAGAGCAATCAGTAATGCCAGCCTGGGGAAGAGACAATTTCTGAAGACCTGACGGACTGGAGGATTCATTCCAAGCTATTGCCATGGCTATTGGCGGCAGGCAGCAGTTCCTTTTTATGTAGTTTTCCGTGGGGTTTCTCACTACATGGCTTCTCCCAGAAGGCGCTGAGAAAGAAGAGAGACCATCAAGATGGAAGTGACACACTGTCATCACTTCTGGTATAATCTCTTGGTCAGAGGCCAGCAATGGAGAACCCGCTTGAAGACTGGCTTCCATCGGTGATAAGGATGAGTTTTAAGGCGACTAGAAGTTTGTGACTGGAAGAATGAGTTGACCCAAGAAATGCAAGAGGATTACTGAGAAGTCTGGGGCACTTGCTTGAGTCTGGGGACTAAGCATGAACAGTGGCATCAATCTGCCCTGTTGCATGACTTTGTCCAGAAGTGTTAACTGTGAGCATGGAGAAAAGACATCGGTTCCCTGCAGGATTGGGGTTTGGTCAAATGATACAGTGAAAACAGCCGTTGTTAGGTGATGTCAAGTTGGTTCTGACGCATATCGACCCTATGTAGGACAGAAGGAAACACTGCCCAGTCCTGTGCCATCCTCACAATTGTTCTTATGTTTGAGGCCATTGTGGTAGCCACTGTGTCCATCCATCTTGTTGAAAGCTTTCCTGGTTTTCACTGCTCTTCTAGTCTGCCGGGCATGATGTCCTTCTCCAGGGACTGATCTCTCCTGACAGTATGTCCAAAGTATGTGAGACAGTCTTGCCATCCTTGCCTCTAAGGAACATATGGTTGTGCTTTTTTCAAGACAGATTTATTTGTTCTTTTGGCAGTCCATGACACTTTGTTCCTTGCCAGCTCTATAATTTGGATACCTTCTTTGGTACTCCTTATTTGGTGTCCAACTTTTGCGTGCAAATGGTGCAATGGAGAATACCATGTCTTAAGTCGGGTGTACCTTAGTCCTCAAAGTAAAATCTTTGCTTTTCAACTCTAAAGCGTTCTTGTGCAGCAGATTGACCCAATGCAGTGCATTGTTTGATCTTTTGACTGCTGCTTCCATGGGCAATTATTGTGGACCCAAGCCTGATGAAATCTTTGACAACTTCAATCCTTTCCCATTTATCAGTATGTAACTTACTGCTCCAGTTGGGATGATTTGGGTTGTTTTTACAGTAAGTTAGAATCCATACCAAAAGCGGCAATCCTTTATCTTCATCAACAAGTACTTCAAGTCCTCCTCACTCTCAACAAGCAAGGTTGTGTCATCTGCATACCACAGGTTGTTAATAAACCTCCTTCCAATCCTGAATCCACCTTCTTCATATAACCCAGCTTCTCTGATAATTTGCTCAGCATACAGATTGAATGCGTGTGGTGAGAGGATACAACCTTGACACACACCTTTCTTGATTTTAAACAGAACAGTATTCCCTTGTTCTGTTTGCACAACTGCCTCTCGATCCATGTACAAGTTCCATTTGAGCACAATCAGGTGTTCTGGAATTCCCATTCTTCTCAAGGCTGTTCATAGTTTGCTATGATCCACACAGTCGAAAGCCTTGGCATAGTCAATAAAACACAAACATCTTTCTGATATCCTCTGCTTTCAGCCAAGATCCTTCTGGCATCAGCATTGATATCCCTTGTTCCATGTCCTCTTCTGAATCTGACCTGAAACACTGGCAGCTCCCTGTCAATGTAAAACAGAGAGGTAAGCGACCTTAGCCCATTAAAAAGAATATCTACAAAAAATGATAGGTAAGAAGGGAAGCAAAGAAAGGATGGTTGTGTGAGGAAAAACTAGAACGATCCTTGGACAAGTTTCAGCGAATTCGGAAAATGATCAAAGTAGGAAAACTGAGCAAGGAACATGGAAAGAGAGATTATGTTCAGAGAGATGAATGTCTGAATTAGAGATTGTCAAAAGAAATAGAAAAAAGACCACCTCAGAATAAAAAGATTCTGCCAAAAGGATTAGCACAAATATATTTTAATTAAATGCGAAGCAGGATCTTTTTTATAAAATGTGGTATTACTGAAATGCCATTCTGCAGAGTCCTATTCTGGAAATGAACTCAAGACAAACAAAAGATAAAGCCCTACTACTAAGAGCATGAGATAGATTGACAGCATGGCTACATCAGCAGCCTCAAACATGGGAACAATTGTGAGGATGGTGCAGGACTGGGCAGTGTTCCTTTCTGTTGTACACAGGGTCACTATGAGTCGGAACCTACCCAATGACACCTAACAACAAGAAGAAGAAAAGAAAAGTAACTGGAAGACTACCGTAAAATCAGTAACTTCATGTCCTGCTACTTTTTGAGAGATCTTGAACAGTCAAATAAATGGCTTGTAGAACTAGAGACACTTAACTCACTGCCATCAGGTCAATGCCGACTCATAGCCACCCTACAGGACAGTAGATCTGCCTCTGTGAGTTTCTGAGACTGTAACTATTTACGGCAGTAGAAAGCCCTGTCTTTCTCCCAGAGTGGGCTGGTAGTTTCAAACTTCGGACCTTGTGGATCACAGCCCAATGTGTAACCACTATGCCCTCAGGGCATGTATATATGTGTGTGTGTGTGTATGTGTGTATGTATATATATATTTATACACACACTATATATGTATGCATGCATATATACATAATCCAGAGATAAGGCTAAATACTTTCTCTAGATTTCTGAGTCTATTTGTTCTTCCAGTAAAGCTCCTACTATGACAGTGAACTGTTAATGGGAGAGAGGTGTTCTTTTTCTGACTGTTAGTTAGACTCTAGGTTTGGTTTCATGTGAAAAAGGCCTAAATTGAACAGATGTGGCAGCAAGATGGAAAATTCTTTGTCATGTAAAAGTACGAAGTGATGTCATCAGGGTTCTAAGCTCCTTGTTCTTACATCTAAAGGGGCTCACTCTCATGACTCCTAATTTCCTTTAAGGAAGATGTGCCCAACACCCACTTGGCATCGCATTGGTTGTACCTACTTGCAAAGGAGGTTGGGAATTATATTCTTTAGCAGATAAAAATCTAAAGAAGAAAGGGGGACTAGAGAGTAGGAATAACTATCAGTTGCTGTTCCCATATTTTGTCATCGCCATCGTTTTTTAAGGGAATCTCTTTGTTAATATACTTTTCTTATAATAGTTTTATAGAAAAGTTGTGGGTTCCCCTATACCCAACACCCAGGTTCCTTTGTTAACATCACTTCATAATATACTGTCCTTTATTCAGATGTGCTTTGGCTTTACTGAATGTCCGTTTTCTATTCCACAATCCCATGCAAGATACCACATTACAGTTGGGCTGCATGTCTCTTTAGGCTCCTCTTGCCTGGACCCACTTCTCAAACTTGCCTTTTTGTAGAGTCTTTGGGAGATCCAGTCAGGTGTAGTGTAGAATGCCCTTTACTTGCAAGCTGTCTGATGTTTTTCTCATAATTAGACTGTGATTATAAGTAGGAAGACCACAGAGGTGTGAAGTACCATTCTCATCACGTCCTATCCTATACAGTCCTACTGATGTTGATAACTTCTATCACCTGGCTATGGTTGTGTATGTCAGGGATTGTTGATATGAACTCACTTGTTTCTCCAGGACAACACTCTGGATGGCTCACACTTAGGGAGTTCGTATCAACATACCCACTGTATACCATATGGGACTACTTCTGCTCGAGAAGTATGTCTGTTCTTTCCACCTATTGTCTTATTCAATTATTTATATCAGTGTAAATTCATGAATATTTTATGCTTTGGTTTATAACACCATACAGCCCTAGGTTGTTGCTCCGATTGTTCTAGCTGTAGCCATTAGGGACTCTTTTCATTCCTTTGACATACCCCCATCATTACGGTTTTTATTTTGAAGTTTGTTGTAAAGCACTCCTTACTTTCCGGCACTACAAGATTGTTCAGGTTAATCTTGTGTAGTCTCTGCCTCAGCCATTTCTCCAAGAACCCTAGGCTTGCTCTTTGCAACTGGATGTCACTGCTTATCGGCCCTCTCAGCTGAGGAAATATAGTAATACAGCGGCCTGTGTATGTGTGCATAGCTATAAACAGCTCTATATAACCATCTGTATTGATAACAGTGCTTAACCAGTTCATACTGATGTCTCTACTTCTCTCTCTGTGTGTGTTACCACCAGGATCATTTCAGCCTTTTCTCCTTGCTGATCTGTAAAGTCCCTCTCCAACAGTGAGAGGCCTGGCTCCCACCATCGTCCATCCTTTCCCTTAATTGTCCACTTGCAGTATACATGCATTGCCTGTACATCTCTGTGTGAAAGAAGTTTTAGCAGCTAGCACACCATGTTTATGTGTACTTCTTTTTGCCTCCAGCACCAAAGACTCCACTCATTTCTTCATCCCCCACAACATTGGGGTATGTGTGTGTGTGTGTGTGTGTGTGTGTGTCTAAATTCCAAACAGTGATATTACCTTAGCTTGTATTGTCTTTTATTGTTTTTGTAAAAATTTACAGATCACTTGCTTTCAGTATCTGATTTTCCTTTTAGAAAATGGAGTGGGAGAAGCTGGACTCTTGATAAAGCCTCTCCATTGCAGCAGGTGGAAGTAGAGACTCAGTGGGATGTGTCGGCACTAGTGTGAATTCTGGTGGTAGGAGGTGATTGAGCTTCCCTTTTCTTTGAAGGATTAAAATGGGTTAATTATTCTATACTTTTTAAAAATAGAGATTTAAATATGTTTCTGTTCAATTAATGAATCTCCACTATGGTAGACTTGCACTGTCCTTTTTGGTAGCAATTAGCCACATAGGATCACTGGTGGCACTGTTAGGTAAACGTTGGACATCTAAACACAAGGTCAGTGGTTGAAACCTACAGGAGAAAGATGTGACTTTCTGTTCCCTTAAAGATCCACAGCCTCAGAAATCTTAAATAGGGTTGATATGCATCAGAATGGACTCAGTGGCAGTGGGTAGTGGTTGTTGGTTTTTTGAGCCACATGTGATTTAAACATTTTACTTTTTCGGACACTGAACCCACATTTGAAATGCTCACCCTGTTTTAACAGTGCTGATATTGACCACTCCCACTTTTGAAGAAAGTTATATTAGACGGTGCTATGCTGGATAGTGGAATCAAAAGTCTGTTAGAAATGGAATTCCCTTAGATAATCTTCCACCATCTTGAATGTGTAGTCTACATAATATTAACAGTGAAAGAAATTGTCCTTGACCTATTGCTAATTACAGATTGCTATTTTCTTGGGAAGAGCTGCCAATATTTATCCATTGTCCCTCTTACTTAATTTGGGTAGAAGAAGTAAGATTGGATCAAATTTTCAACACATGATGATGTTTGCTGGTAAGTTACATCTTTCCTTCTCTTGCCTTCCACTGGAAACTACTCACCGTGCACATGCCAGTTGAATTCCAAACTGCAATGGTATTATAGTGTCTCTTTCGCTTCTATGGGTGTTTTCCAGTGCTCTGGTTCCAAATCCCGGGTTCAGAAATAGGTTACATAAAATGTGAAAATAAAGACTAATAACTGGGAACAACCTGCCTGTCTTTCCGTGGGTGAATGGATAAACAAAGTGGTACATCCTTACAGTGGAATACTACTTAGCACTAAAAAGGACAGACTTGATAACACACATCAGCATTGTGCTGAGTGAAAAGCCAATCTCAAAAGGTTATATACAGTATGACTGTATGTTTATAATACCCTCCAAAAGACAGGCCATCGCTACGGAGGGCAGAGCAGTGGTTGCCATGGAGTTGGCATAAGTAGGGACCGAACTAAAGGGGACAGTGATGAAACTATTCTGCACCTCGCTTGTGGTGGTGAGGACATACCTCTGGGCATTTGTCAAAACTCATGAACCTGTACAAAAAAGGCCATTGTACAGTACATATATATAGAAATATATGCATGTCAACATCACCAGTGGATCCTATTTGTTTCTCTAATTTTCTTTATGGTACTGTATTGCAGATTTGCTGACATGTTGGTCAGTTTCCTTGCTCTGCATTTATGAAACTCCTGTTGGTTATACACTCATAAAAGCAGCCCTTTTCCCTTTCCTTGTAGGGCTTCGTGGGGCGATGGCCTTTGCCTTGGCCATAAGAGATACTGCCACTTATGCCCGGCAAATGATGTTTAGTACCACACTTCTAATTGTGTTTTTCACTGTGTGGGTATTTGGTGGTGGTACCACTGCGATGCTATCATGCTTGCATATTAGGTAAGTAGTAACTGGATACCTGCTTTTCCTATGAAATTCTAAGTTTCATTTTTTCTTGTAGTCATGATGACAGTGTTAGGCTTTGGTGAATCTGTGCTGTTTCCTCTTCGGACTGGAGAGCCGGTGTGCTTGCACAGCTTTGCCTAGTGAAATCGGCGTCACTGAGCATACGGTTAACATGGCAAATGTTTTACCGCAGACGTTGCCTCACAATTTGTAAGCGTTTGTGACATTTTCTTCGGGGGAAAATTAAAAAGATGAAAAAGAAACATGGGAAACATTTGAGGGCTATCTTGCTAGGCCTTTTATAAGGTTGAAGATAGAAATTTTCTGTTTGTTTTTAAAACAAAAAGCAGCAACACTACTACATTGTAGACTGATGTCTAAATGTCCTAGCGTGTTAACAGACCTATTTGCATCCTAGTTTTTAATGGCTCTGTAACTCATAACTTATTTGCTCTGTTGTTTTCTATTACCACTAACATTGTGATGAACCTCCTTAAAGGTGAGCGCCACCATGCCCTGGTTGGATAGTTCCTTTAGGGCAGTTTGTAGAGGGAGAATAGCTTGGGTAAAGGATATGCAGATATCTAATACTTTTGAGCCATATCACCAGTTTGGATTAAAATTTGTTCTTCCATCTGTCATGTATGAGATGGTCCCCTTTACCCAGCTCTAGATAGTATTGTTCTTCCTCATCATGATTGTTTTTCTCCGTTGTTTTAGCATTGTTTTTGCATCAACAATCCAAGGCTGAACCTGCAAGGTCTCTGTCGTAAATGTGTCCTAGTTAATCTATTCCATTTGAATGCTCCCTTGTATCTCCAGAGTTGTGCATTTGTTTCCATGGATACAGCAGCTGTGCTGCTAAGGCCTTTGAGATCTTAGGTCTGTGTCTGGCTGAAGCTTCATAGACCTTAAGAGCTACTGAGCTTCCTGAATGTGTAGGGCTCATTAGAGAAAAAAATGTTTCACATTTTATCGAATCTGCCCCCCTTATTATTCCCTTGATTTTCTTTTAACATTTCTAAAGACTAGCCATTCCTAAATCATGCTTTTTTTGAATGCTGCTGTTATTATCCTATTCTCAGATCCTTTATTATTTCTGTGCTTTTATTGTGTACAATAGGAAACACATAAAATGAAGGGTCTTGGAACCCTATCTATTGCTTAAAAGAAGATCTGGCACTTATAGAGGACCTACTATGTGCCGGGCATTGTGCCAAGTGTCTTTTGTATATTGCCCAATCCCAGCCATTCCACTTTCTACATGAGGAATCCGGGCCTCAGACACATGCCTAGTTGTTCAACTCATGCAGAGAAGTAGATGGTGGGCAGAGGATCTTCTGGTCTCACTTCATTTTTTTCCATGCTGTGTTTCATCATGAAATGAGAGTGGTGAGTTTTTGGAAAGAATAATGGGCCAGCCTTTTCTCACAAGTTTGTAAAGGAAGACTCTTCCTTACTCCGCCCAACGATAACAACAGAACAAAAACAAATTCCTTCCCACTGAGTCAATGCTGACTCATAGCAACCCTATGGGGCAGAGTAAAACTGCCCCTGTGAGTTTCCAAGGTAGTAACTCTTTACGGAAGTAGAAAGCTGAGAGTGGCTGGTGGTTTTGAGTTACTGACCTTGCAGTTAGCAGCTCAACCCATAACCACTACGCCACCAGGGCTTTATTCCTCCCAAGGGAACAAAATTAAATATAAGATAATTTATGGGGAAGAATACTCACAGTTTAAAGTGGAAATAGTTCTCTTCCCTAAATGCTCCCCTAAATGTTTACCTTCTACCCCCACCAGAAATAAAAACAAAACCCACGCCCCAGGCCCACCTACTCACCATAACATGTGACCTTCCTCACTAGCTTTGAAAGCTCCTTGGCCCCGTCTTGCCTGGCCTGCAGCATGCAGTCTGGTGCTTGGTTATACCCATTGCCTTAACAGCCTTGGTAGTCTTGTTTGTTTAGCCTTGTTGAGAACAGCGAGAAGCTATATTTTAAGCTTCTCTTCACTTTTCCCAAATTTACCTAGTATAGTTATGAGGATGTTGACATGTCCTTACAGTTCAAGCTTCAGTCAAATTTAGCCCTGGAGTTCTTGCTCCGTCACTTACTAATTCTGTGATCTTGGGCACGTTATTTCACATTTTTAAGCCTCAGTTTCCTCATCTCTACAATATGTAGAATCATCCTACCTCATCGGGTTGTTGTAAAGGATTCAGTGAGCTAACGTATATCAAATTCTGCACACACCATTTGAAATGTGCCTCTTAGTCATTCAGTCAATAAGTACTTATTGAGCACCTACCATCTATTAGGCACACGCTGGGACCCAAACTCAATGGTTCTCAATGGGAATTTGTGCTTCCTCCACCCCCAAGGGGCATTTAGCAAAGTCTAGTTGCAACTGGGGGATGAAGCCAAGGATACTGCTCAAAATTACGCACCAGATAGGATATTCCTCGAGCCAAGAACTGTCTGGACCTATATGTTAGTAATGCCAAGGACGAGTGAGAAAGCTTGCTCCAGAGAGGGATGGTGATTGCAGTAAGAAAATACCCTTGATCTTCCAAATTTGAGACTGCAGTGCAGGCAGACCAGTAAACATATAGATGAGCGTGGCAATTTCAGGTGGTACTAAGTGCTATGATAACGCCTGAGGATGGAGGTTAGGAAAGGTCCCTCTGATGAGAGCTTACATTGGATTGTGAGCTCAGTGTACTCGAATGCCAAGATGTTGGCAGTTCCAGGATGATGAAGAAGAGCAGTCCAGGCAAAGGGCAAAGCAAGTGCAAGGACACTGAGGCGGGAACAAACGTGGTCTGTTTCTTGAACTGAACAATAAGCCCATATACCTGAAGTATAGTGATTGAGGGGGTGAGATGGGGGGAGATAGGAAATGAGGTTAGGCAAGACCCTATAGGGATAGGGGTCAGCAGACTGTTGCTGTGGATGTTCTGGACTGGTTGCTGTATGGGTTCTGGCCCACCCTCTTGGCTCTAGTGGGAAAGGAGCCATAGACATAAATCATTGGTGAATCTGTGCCGTAATAAAACTTCATTTACAAAACTGGACGGCTCCCCTGGGCTGGCCCTGTTAAAGAGTGTGGCTTTTACAATTCAACCAGAGGATCTTAGTAGATTTTTAAGCAAGGGAGTACCATGCTCTGATTTCCAATGTAAAAGAATCACTCTAGCCGCAGTGTGGACAATGGGCCCCAGTGAGGGAGAGTCAGACAGCTGACTCCACGTCAATTCCTGCCTCCCTTTGCATCCTTGGTAACAGTTGCACTTGGCTCCCTGCTGTTTACCAGACAGACTATGCACTTCTCTGTCTCTGAGCCTATGTTCACACCATTCCCTCTGCCTAGAATTCTCCTTTCCTCCTCTGACCCTCTTCTTGCTATCACAATGGTACCACTCTTGTTTGCTTAATGCTGGCTGTCTCAGCTATAGCGCTTATGTCATTCAGCCTTGTAAGAATAACAGTAGCAGCTATCACGTAATGAAGGTTTATGATGTATCAAAAACTGCTCAAAATCTCTAGGTACATTATTTTCACTTAATCTTTGCAGCAACCCTATGTGGTGGGCATTATCCCCATTGCCAAGGTGATAAAATTCAGCTTGCTAGGGCTTGACTAGTAAGTTCGCACTTGCTAGACGGTGAGTTCAAACGTGAAGCAGCTCTCTCAGATTGTCCCTCCTTAGGGTCGTTGCCATTGTGTCTATCTCCCCACTACTCTGAGCTCCTTGCAGGCAGAGGCCGTGTTCAATTCATGTCTATGCTCTGTGCCTAGTACAGTGCCTGGCAAATAATAGGTGCTCTGTAAATGTTGGCTACGCTAGATTGGCATCCTCTATAAAGTACAGCTGGGCATTATATGTGTGCTCTCTTTAAGACCACTAGGTGGCACTTTAGATGCATAAATGTGCTTAGCATTTACTGGGACTAAGAAGATACTAAACAGCCTCTAGTACTTTGAACAAAGGAGCAATGAACCTTTCTCTGCATTATGAATCTGGTCATGGACATCAGTTTTCAAGGACTTGGCCATGATTCACTTGCTTTCCTGATGAGATCTCGCATCGTTTTCTTTCCTTCAATGTTATTTGTATTCTGGGATGCTACTGCTACAGCTTCTTACACTGCAATGTTTTCTGTGTTGTCTATAGTAGTTCACTCAATTGATAAAACATTTGAGCACCTATTGTGTGTCAGGTACTGTGCTAGACTCTGGGGATACAGAGATGAATTGAGACATGGCCTTTACCCTCAAGGAGCTCACAGTCTATTTGGGGAGACTGACAGGTAAATAACTATTATCTACTGTGCTAAGTATTATAATAGAAGAATCTAGAAAGTGCTGTCAAGGCACAGAGAAAGAATGGATTCTGCATGAGGGGGTCTTACAGTGGTTAATTTGGAATTTGAAAAATGAGTAGAAAAAGTGAGGGAAAGAGCATTTCAGATGAACACCCTGAGCAAAGGGCAGAGTTGGGGGAGAGGCGTAGCTGGGTTTGGCTAGTGATAGGGCACATAGATGGGATTCATGGGAGGTGAAGGCGGAAAGGTGGCTTGGGTTTGGGGTCACTAGTTTGTAGAGAGAGTCCCAAGTGCCACACTTCGGACTTTGACTCAATCCTCTAAAGGAGAGCCAGCCTGAAGACCTTTTAGCTAGTGGATAAAGTTGCCATGAATCCGAGTGAGCACCTGCACATGAGCAGTTGAGATGGAAAGAGGGAAGCCCTAAGAGAATCTAAAGCAGTATTTCCCAATGTGGTGGAACAGTGAAGGGGGTGGGGGGACCGCAAAATCAGGTACCTTGGCTTTACCCTGGATGGTGGGCTATAGTGCAATAGTACTTTTTTGTTCTAAAGGGGGGCGGTAGGCCAAATCTGTTTGGGGACTATGGTCGAAACCAGCGGTTCTCAACCTGTGGGTCGTGACCCCTTTGGGGGTCAAACAACCCTTTCACGGGGGTCGCCCAATTCATAACAGTGGCAAAGTGACAGTTATGAAGTAGCAATGAAAATAATTTTATGGTTGGGGGGGTCACCACAACATGAGGAACTGGGGTCGTGGCATTAGGAAGGTTGAGAACCACTGGTCTAGACAGAAGAACCAGAGTGTGTGAGTGCTCATGTTTGAGGCATGGCCAGAAGTCAGAGCAAACTGCTTCATAAGAAAGCTCTTCCTTGATGCAGGTAGAGCCAGACTTTTAAGTAGATGAAAAAGAGCAATGAAGACTCAACCCAAATGTCTATTCATTAGCCCATGAAAACATGGTAATTGGCCCCCTCCTTAGTTTTTTGTAGCCCAATGTTGCCATGAGAGCAGAGAGGTCCCAAAAGGCAGCCCCCTCCTGGAACTGTCTTGGGCCTGCCTTGTTTCTGGACTAACGCCCAGTCACTCTTACTTAGCTCCGGGGCAATGCTGCTTTTCCTGACTCTGCATATAGCATGCTTCCTTTCAGAAAAGGGCACATTCCTTTTCTGAACCTGGTAAGTGAGGTTATCAGCAAGAAACTCAGTAATAGACCCTGCTTGGCTTGGAATCCAAGCTGTCGCTGAGAAAGTAAGTGCCCATCGCCAACACGCCACACCGGCCACCATAGAGAAGACCGAGAACTCCAACCGTGCGTCAGCTTCCCTGTGGCCCGACAATGTGCAGCTGTGAGTAGATTCCTTTTTAGGCTATGAAATCTCATTTGCTTTTTGTGTTTCTCCTTTAGGGTTGGTGTTGATTCAGACCAAGAACATTTGGTAAATATGCGTTTGTGATGTTCTGGCATTTCTGTTGAATGGGCAGTCTTTGGGAAAGAGAACAGTCCACTATAGACTTCTTTGCACTCTTGCTAGACCCTGCTCTGTTTGAAGCAGCTTTTAGCTGCCATGATTCCTGGCTCTTCTCACTGCTTGATAGTGACCACTCCCATCTTGTGGCAGGGGATAGCTGTCAGCGTGGTGGCATTCAGATCTGTGGCCACCCGAGGCCTCGGCCACAGAGGACAGCAGTCCTTTAAGTGCTCCTGAGTTTTCAAGTGACTGCGCTGGCACGCGGAGGCTTTTTCCACTCTGTTTGCGCATGCAAGCTGGTCTCTGATGTAAGTCCCGCTCCAGCTGCTCTTCCTGTGTAACTTTCACATTGGATGCCTAGCAGCTGCTCTTAAGAACTGCCTAGCAGCTTTGAAATCTTCAGCCTGTGGTCCCTGCCTGTTAGGGGGCGTGTACCTCTCACTCTGTGTTTCATCCTCGCCCAGACACTTCCAAGTGTCATTTGCTCACTTGTTCCTGGGACCCTGAGCCTGCTGGACTGAGGGCTATGAAACTCGGTTCCTTCTTAGGCCAGCCACCCCTATCTGGTACTTTCCATAAGCTCTTTAGTTTGGTGTGTGTGTATGTATGTGGACCACTGAAAACATGGCTCCACTAGGCAATATGTTAAAGGGTGTGTGTGAGAAATCACAGAAATTCGGTGTGGAAGGTGGAAAGCATGTCATGGTTAGCAACTGCTTCCAAATCACAATTCTTTGCCTGTCTGCAACAAGCTCTGCTATTTTGTCTTCAAAGTGTGGTGACAAAACATTAGCCCATGTATTTTCTAAAGTCTGATTGGACTTGCTTTTGAGTGAGGAGCATGTGTGATGTACTAAGGACTTGCCCTCCTTGGTGGTCAGAACCTTAAAATAGAAAGCCCGTGGCCTTGAAATGGCAGCCAGACCCAGCTGGGTAAGTTCCATCGTGATGCCAAGCTCCTGGGGTTGTTTCCCCAGGGCTCCGAGCTCAGTGCCTCCACCCCTGCATCAAAACACCAAGTTATCCTCCTCCTCCTGAGGCACATGCTTGATCACTCTCTGCAGCAATCTCCATCAGCTCTGCCATCTCTGTCACCTTGGTGACAGGGTGAGCAAAGGTGGTGACTACCAGTTGGGACCTACAGAAAAGGAAACCCCGTTTTGCCCCTGCCCTCACAGCCCTGTGGCTGTGATGGTTTGTTAATAGCGCTTATGTAATACTCTGAGTGCCCATTAGGAGTGTTATAGTAAGTATGGAGAACAAGGAATTGGGTGTGTGTGTGTGTGTGTGTGTGTGTGTGTGTGTGTGTGTGTGTGTGTGTATGTTTTGAAGAGATGGATGATAGTTGAATTGAAAAGGGTTGTTGGGTTTTTTTGGTTTGTTTGTTTGGACTCTTTAGGGAGTGGGGGACACTCAAACCTAGGCCTGGAAATGTGAAAGGATGTGTTTTGGCGAGGGATGTTTTTTGGCCCTCGTAAGTTCAAACAATGTCCCTGCAACCTTTTGATACTACGTATGCGTTTACATGTGTTGGCTTGAAGGTACATTCATTTTGAGGGTCAGAAAAGGAAAGGGACTTGTCCAAACCATATCAGAGACAGAACTCGAACCACCGGAGCCCCTAACCACCTGACTACTAAGCACACCACGTTACGAATTGGGACGCAGCTTACTGTTTGTGGAAGGTGTTCCAGAAGATGGCTGTCTGCTGCCTTTGTTTTCACTCCCGGCTTGCCAGTTTACCAGGGAATTGCCCTACTTCCTTTTTGTTTGGCTGGCGTGCTGAGAAAGGCAGCGGTCTATGACAGTCCCCAAAGACAGGGGTGCGGGCGTGTTGTTTTACGTGGGAGATGTTGCTCACCTTGGCAGTGCAACTCTTTTCGAGGCAGGTATGAATCCCCCCATGCTGATTTGTCAATGCAATTAGACCCCTAAATCGAAATCCGCAAGCAGCCAGAGTCCACAAAAGTGTTCAGAAAGAAGCCATTTCAATGTCATTCCAAAGCTACAATATGCAAGCTATTACACTGATAGTGTTAGTCTCTACCTAGCAGACTTGTACATCTTTGTACAGGCATTGATTTACTGATCTCTGTTTCCAGGGTGTGCCTGAAAGTGAACGGAGAACTACCAAAACTGAGAGTGCGTGGCTCTTCCGGATGTGGTACAACTTCGATCACAAGTATCCTTAACTGAGGGAAAACAAAGGGCGTGCACGTGGACAAATACAGTTGAGCTGCTGTGACCTTTCCCTTCTTGGAGCCAGCTTTTAAGTCTTCTCTTGCCCCACTCAGTGTAGCAAAGAAGAATCTTAAAGGGAACCCACACCAATGAGTTCCCCTGAAAACCCACGAATCCAGTTGGGATGAATTCCTGCAGACATTGGCTGGCTGAGTGAAGGGACTCAGAGCCCTTAATGACCTATATTCTTGGAGGTCAAGGTTTTTATTTATTAAGTAGCTTTTCATGTTTATTATCCCTTGGCTCATTTAGTGAACCTGTCAACATGCATTTGTTGGTTCTTGTCATTCTACCTGCTAGGCTGTGAGAGGAAGGGCTGTCTCAGACACAGGCATGAGAATGAAAGAAAACTGTAGCTGTGTCCCATCCCACAATATTCAGCCATGTGCCTTCACACTGTGACCTTTCCAAAGCCCCCGAGATTTTCCTTGTGGTTCGCATTGCTACAAACAGCACATGCGTTTCTGATTTTTCAAATGTCTTTCTTGTCCTGTTGTACCAGTCTCCCTCAACCCTTGTGTAGCGGTGAGATTCTGTAACCTGTTGGAATCAGCCATTTTTTAAAGCATCACTATTTTGTAAAATAATTTTTTTTGAAAATCTAACTACAAAAAGGAACCGTAGAGTTCTTTTGGTCTGCACTCTTATTGGTACCAAAACCAAACTGCAAACTTAGTGCCATCGAGTCGAGTCTGACTCATAGCCAGCCGACCCTATAGGACAGAATAGAACTGCCCCTGTGGGTTTCTGAGATGAACTCTTTAGGGGAGTAGAAAGCCTCATCTATCAAGTAGATGGATGAAAACAAGTTTCATTGAAACAGTCAATTTTGGGGAACCAGGCAAACTCTCCCCGCTTTTAGCTTTTTCTGATCAAAGCCTTGTATGCTTTAAAACAACACCCTTGGCATTTTATTGTTAGAGGTTCCTACTGGCATGCAGTGTTCTAGATTTGTCATTCGCTTTTTTAAAGAACTTCAAAATTGAATAACTATGGTACTATGCTTCACATGAGGGAGAGAGCTCCTGCCTCTATAAAATGGTTTAAAGGTGGTGGTATTGCCTTTTGCGCCATTTTCAGGATTTTTAAATCTAAAAATTTTTTTTTCATTTTCAGCATTTTTGAGTGTCAGCCACTTCAATCTCTGGAGACTTTTTAGCTATCTGATTTAGATATTGAAAAAAATATGTAGTACTTACCACATTAAGTGTGTTACACATTTCTGCATAATATATAAAAGCATTAAATGATCTAATATAGAGAAATATAGAGAAATCAATAGGGTGGTATCTTATTTTCATATATATTCTTTTTTTTAAAATATATTCTTATAGGAGTAAACTCAAGACTTGTTAGCCTATAAGTAACACTATAGGTTAAGACATGGTAGTTTTAAATGCCTAGTAACCTAGTAGATTTTGCTTTCTTTGAATGACAGTTTGCCTGTTCATTTTAATGAAGATGTGACTTAAAAATAGTGAAGTGTATGAATCTTAAAAGTAGACAGCTTAATGTTGGTATATGCAACTACCTATAAAAAATCAGTGCCCTACAAGTGACCCTGAGTTCCCTTGGGTGCTGATCCTTATATAGATAACGTGATGGTTTTAGCTTTTACACTTGGGTTTTTGATCCATCACAAATTAATTTTTTGTATATGGATCAAGATCCACTTTTTCCTCACACAGATAATCCAAGTTGCCCCGGCCTCATTGTTTGACAATACCATTACTACCAGTTGCTGTTGAGCTGATTCTGGCTTGCCGTGACCCCATGTGTCAGAGGAAAACTGAGCTCTACGATGTTTTCAGTGGCTGATTTTTTTTTCTCAGAAATGGATTGCCAGGCCCTTCTTGTAAGGTACCTGTGGCTGAACTTGAACTGCCAGCCTTTCTGTTAATAGGCAAGCTCATTAACCATTTGCATCACCCAGGTGCTCATTACCCCCATGGAATTGTATTGGAACTTTTGTTGGAAATCACTTGACCACACATGTGGGAGTCTGTTTCTGGATTATATGCTCTTTGGCTATATTTTTTCACCAACTCTATTCTCTTAATTAGTATCCTTTTAAATAAATCTTGCTGCCTGATAGGTCAGTCCTCTAGGTTTGTTCTGCTTTCATTAGACTTTGTGTTACTGCCAAATATAAGGCCAGTATATAAAGTTGAATGTTTCTATAATTTTTCCAGGAGAATAAGTGAATGCTGAAAGAAGGTCTATACTAGAGAAACTCATGAGACATAATTGAAATGTCTTTAGAATTAACTTTCCTTTCCTCAGTAGTAACGTCCCCAATCTGACCTCTTAAAGGCTGTCAGTTGGAACTTCAGTATCAAGTTGATTTTTTCTTATAAAACTACCAAGTTCTTATAAAGCTAGCAGGTAGAAAGGAAAGTCAAGTTGGAAGACATTTATTTATTATCTGGTTACACATTAGACCACTAACCCACATGGCCAGCAGTCCAAAATCATCAACTGCTCTTTGGGAGAAAGATGAGGCTTTCTACACCTTAAAGGTTTACAGTCTTGGGAACCCACAGGGGCAGTTCTACCCTGTCCTGTACAGTCACTATGGGTTGGAATCGACTCGATAGCAGTGAATTTTCTACTGGACAATTTCGTCTTGTTTCTAATACCATTACTTATTTTCATGCTGCTCTTCAGTGCGAACTCGAGAGCAATTTTCTCTTTACTTTTGTTTTTAGTGAAAACAGAAAGGCAAGTGTGGTGTAGGGGAAAGGCCATAAACTTTAGAATCCAACCGATTGGGGTTCAAGCATTAATTAGGCCCCCACTTTCTGACTTGGCTGACTTTGGGCAGATTATTTACCTTCCTGCACCTTGGTTTCCATATCTGCATCTGTGAATTAGAGATAGTAATGAACTGCTTGGCTCTCACTGGTATAATGTGAAGGCAAAATAAGGAACCAGAAGGTTCCTTTTGAAAGCCTTTTGCTCTTCTCTGAAGGGGCTGGTGCCTTGGGATGGGGGTTCTTGTCAAATGAGTTGTTGTTTTAAAGCTGTGAAGAAAGGAATGAAGCTCTTCCCTTAACCAACACAGCTATCTGAAGCCTCTGCTGACACACAGTGGGCCTCCTCTGACCACAACCCTTCCTGCCTGCTGTGGACCTATTGCAAGATGCCTAACCAGCCCTCAGGCTTATGAAGTAAGTTACTTCTATCCCACAAGGAAGTTCTTCATTTAATGGAATCCACTTGCTTGATGGATGAATTGCTGGCTTTGTTTTTCTTGTTTGCCTTGAAAGTATCAAGACCTAGAGAAACCATATCAAAACTCACTACCATCCAATCAATGCTGACTCATAGAGACCCCCTGTGGCTTTCCTGTACTATAACTGCTTATGGGATTAGAAAGCCCAGTCTTTCCCCCAAGGAGCAGCTGGTGGTTTTGAACTGCTGACCATAGAGATTGCAGCCTATCGCCTAACCACTACACCACCAGAGCTCCTATGAGAGAGAATACAAGTGCATTTTGGTTCAATTGATTGCCAGTGTACACAATTCTAGAAACACAATCCATAGCTCTTTAAAAACAAAACAAAAAACATCCTATGTAGATACACGATGGCACCTCATCTTACGGTGGGTAGTTTGAGCCAAGAATTTTGTTGCCATGCTGACTGGCTTCGATCTATTTGCCATTCGTGCCCTGAGCACAGCAGGAAATGTGTGTGTGTTTTATCTGTAAATTTAGCCAGCCACATTTACATTGAGAAGATTAATAAAAAGGGTGACGCACCTGAGAGTGCACCAGATGGTCTGTTATTCTGAATACGAGGGAAAGTTTATCTCCCTCTGCCCTCCACTGCCTAGCTACCAGCATCAGAATGGAGACTGAGCGAGGATAGCAGCTGAGGATGAAATGACAGATAGGCTAACCAGCCCTGATTTGGAAATAATGACCCTTTATTTTCCAAGGTTGGTTGTTTCCCATCCTTTGAAACCTAAGCTTGCTAATTCTAAGCCAACCCACTGAAAAGAATGTATGGCCTCTACTAGGCACCGATGTTCAGAACACAGTAGTCAGCCTGGAGTGGAAATGGAGGGGACCCTGCTATGAAGCAGTGTAGACATGCACCCCCTCCTAGTGCCCTATGGCCTCTTATGGCAAGGGACCAGATGGGTCAAGTAGACACTCGGGGGTGGCTCCCTGCCTCAGAGATTAATGCCCTGCAGCGTTGTGTGGTGTGGGGTCAGTACATTTCAGACATTTGACAGATGGAGTAGAAGCCCCTCTACCCCATGTCATCCAGGCCCACCTCCAAAGCAGACTCTCCATTTGCTCTGGGCCCTGTGCCCCACATGACTTTGCATTGAGGGCACAGGCAACTACATTGAGGGCACAGGCAACCCTGTGGGTCAAGTCAGTGAGGCTTGGGTTCCAGAGACCCGTAGCCAAGGGAGTGCCACAATACTCTGTTGTGTGTAGTAGTGACAAGACACAACAACATTCTGTCAGACTGATATGTTTATATTATTTTTTGATGTTGTTAACTATTTTTCAGTTCTAAAAGTGACATGATTGTTGTTGTGGTTAGGTGCTATGAAGTTAGTTCTCACCCACAGAGGCCTTATTGTGTCCAACAGAACGAAGCACTGCCTGGTCCTACCCCATCCTCATGGTGATTGGCATGGTGGAGCCCCCTGTTGCAGCCACTGTGTTGCTCCATCGCATTGAGGGCCTTCCTTTTTTTTCACTGCCCCTGTACTTTACCAAGCAGGAACCGGTCTTCTGGTGACTAGTCCATAGAAGGAGGGGACTTCAAAAAGTATGTGGGAAAAGAGAATAAAAAGATAATTGGATTTTCCCCCACGAATTTTTTAAGCCCCCTCGTATGTTCCCCCACCCCCTTCTATAGCAGTCTGTTTAATATGCAGGAACTTCAAAAGGTTTGTGGGGAAATTCCATTGTCTTCTGATCGCATTTTCACATGAACGTTTTAAAGTGCCCCAGTCCACCATTTCACCCATAAAGTTCTCAGTTGAAGCAAAGGTTCCTGAGCTGGGAGACAACAAGTAGGCAGTGAGGGGTTGGTATACCAGGCCGGATGCTCTGCATCAAGGCATTGTTCATGCAAAAGTGAATGCTTTATTGCTTTAGAGCCATTAAATCATTATCACTTACATTTATTTACTGGGTATACTTTTAACGCACTATACACTGTGTTAGATAGTTGGATTATAGCCTATAAGACAGCACAGCCCCTGCCCTCAAGGGACTTCACGTCTAGTGGCACTGTGAGGCTACATCAGCATGCCCGCAATGCTGATGCAGGGTCAGCGCCGCTGTGGTGGGGCTTGGAGAGCACACACGGGAGGGGCACCTCATCTGTTCTAAAAGATCAAGGAAGACTTCCCAGAAAAAGTGACTTATAAGCAGAGACTCAGAAGTGGGTGTTAGTCTTCTGAAGGAGGACCCAGAGGTGAAGGGAAGATTTGGGCAACTGTCAGCAATTGGTCCACCTAGCATGCAATAGGGTGCTGGGGCACAGGAGGCAGATGGTAGCAGGAAATGGAGCAAACAGGGTCACATCATAGTGTCTTCTAAGCCAAGGTAAGGACTTCGGACTTTCTCTGGAGGGCAGTGGGATACCACTTAAGGGTTTTGAAGAAGAAAACTTTTAAAATTCTCCCATTAAAAAGGGTTCTTTAGTTTTCTTCACAATTCTTAAAACTTACTTCCTTTGCATTTAGAACCAGGAGCAGTTGAAGGATGACGACTCAGACCTGATTCTTAATGATGGCGATATTAGTTTGACATACGGGGACTCTACTGTGAACACGGAGTCAGCCACATCCATCGCTCCTAGGAGATTCATGGGAAACAGTTCTGAAGATGCCTTGGATCGGGAGCTGACCTTCGGGGACCATGAGCTGGTCATCCGGGGCACACGCCTGGTTCTTCCTATGGATGATTCTGAGCCGCCATTAAGTTTGTTGGATAATACAAGACACAGTCCAGCCTAAGCTTAGTAATCCTTACTTTGTGATTTGTACAATTTGCACATGTGATTGTGAAGAAATCTGTACTACCTAACAAGTCCCAGTGCATGTCTCTGAATGTGGACGCTGTATAAATATTATTTATATGGCATCGAAAGTATAATTAATCCTGTACATGGCAGATTGTGGACAAGCTAATTTGGTTTTTGTTTGTATGGTTGGTAGGTTGGTTCTCCTGGCTGTACTGCGTAGAATGGATTTGTTTTAGAAAGTTCTGTACCCGGTGATGTTACGTGTTCTGTTAGCTTTTTGTCTTGGTTCGAAGTATCAAAAGTGACTGATTTCCTCCTGCGCATATTTACCTGACACTTTTAACTGGAGTACAAAGTTCACGTGCTGTGAATTCATTGTGTGTGTGTGCGTGCATGCGTGCGTGCGTGCGTGCGTGCGTGCGTGTGTGTGTGTGTGTGTGTGTGTGTGTGCTTGTGTGTTGGGAGGGGGGTGGGCCATAGCCTAGAGAGCCCAGCAGGGAGAGGTTCCTTTCTTGTGGACTGTTGCTGCCTTGGTCGCATCCTTCTCCCTTCCCTTTGCTCTCCTGGCCTGATGTGCGCACCGCTGTTCAGGTTGGGGAGGAAAGCCCGTGTCCCCTCCTCCACCCTGATGACCACAAGACTTTGTTTTGTTACCAAGAGCAAGACAGGCCGCACAGCCACCCTGCATAGCCAAAGTACAGGTGTATATAGTCAGAGCACGCGCTATCCATCCAAGGAGGTGGACCCAGATAGGGCTGGGGCCGGGGACCAGCCAAGAGGCTGTTGATTTCAGAGCATGCTCTGCCCGGATCTGTAAATATTCTATACCAGATATGTTAAAAGACATTTAATTGCTGCTTAACTTTTGATTATGTACTTAATCTGTATAGCGAGCTTTGTGGTCAGAAGTTTTTATATCACTTTAAATTGCTGCTCTTTAGCAGCCAAACAGGAGCAAAATGTAAAATTTTTGAACTTACTATGTCTAATTGTCATTTGTCAGGTTGTAGTTGGTGTTACCAGTTAATTTATAACTCCATGTTCATTTCCTGCTATACCAGTTGGAAGAGAAAAGGACATGCTCTGAGACACCCTACTGGGAGTGTATAGTCAGAGCTAGCGGCTTGGTGCATATTGGGTGTAGTTGTCTCTCTTTCTGTGTTTAATATTAATAGCGAAGCTGCCGTGTGTGTGTGTGTGTGTGTGTGTGTGTGTGTGTGTGTGTGTGTGTGTTTAAACATATTTCAAGGAAGAGCACAGAAAATTTTCTCGTTTCCTATGTAGAATATGAACTCACGTTTTCTTTTGTAAGGATGAAAATCGATAAAGTACACTTTATAAATCGATAAAGTACACTTCCAAAGGGAATCCTTTTTAATGTCACTTCTGACCTGTTAATGCTTCAGAAGAAAAACACAAACCTTGGGCTTTTCCACTGCACTCCCCACCCCCACCCCAATACATGCCTCCTTTCAGGGCTGCTTAGCATTGCCTTAAATTTTACCCATTTAGAAAACTGATTGGCATCGTGTTCCAATCGTTCAATGAAAAGCATCTTTCCAAACAAAATAGGCACTCCTCTCCAAGAGGCATCTGTGCTCGCGAAAATACCCGAGGTTCAAACGGATGCCCAATGCCCTCCCATGTAGTGGCAGCTATAACTCGGCATAGCCGTTGTTGTGTAGGGTTAGCGACTTTCCTGCCATGCTGTGTGCCTCTTCATGCGGTAAACAATTGCTTGTTAATGTCTGTCTGAGCTTTAGCGTCCTTCCCCCCACCCCCAAGGTCAACAAAGTTGTGAAATGTTAGACAATAAACCAACAGCGACCTATTTTTTGTTTTTTATTCTGTCAGGTGACCGAGGTCACTTTATGAAAATGGCTGTAAATACCACGCATGAGCTAGTCAGTAACTCGTCTGTGTCAGCATGAAGACTTTCTAGTAGGGACCTGTTCAAGCTCCAGTCAACGAAGTCAACGAAGCCTGCCTTTGGGCCTTATCGAAGTGGGGATTGAGCCTGCTGGGCCCACAGCAGCACCTGGAACTTAGCTCTGTACGCATTGTCCAGCTCTTGGGCCTGTGTTCCCACTAACCGCCCCCCAGGGTGAACTGTGATGAAGTCCAAGTCGGCGTGGCCATCTGGCACCATCAACCTGCTCTCGGATTTGTTTCTCTGTTGTTTGTGGAACCCACACGTTTGATTGACTTGAACGTGGCATCTTTTTAAAGTTCTTTTTAAGATCTCTTGGCATTTTATCGTAGTTATCCATGTTTGGCAATGTGCTGTTGAAATAATAGACTTTTAATCTGTATGTACTTTTTGTTTTTCTTTGGAGTACTTAGACAGATGTTATAGTGGTTTCTTATAGGAAAATCTGTCATTAAAAAAAAATCATAGCCTTGCAAATAACCGCTCACTGTATTTGAGTCACTTTATTCTCGGGAGAAGTAAAGAGGGCTGGCTTCATTTCTTTTTCTACCTATAGATCGCCTGGAAAAGTGGGGAAGCCTGATGTTTTAAAAAGAAACAGAATAGAACTTATGGGGTGGCAGTTTGGGGCACCTATGCGTAAAGGGTTGGAGAGTACTTGCCTATGGTCACAACTGAGTCATTTAAGAAATACAGCTCAGAGTGGTTCAATTCTATCCCACTACTTTGGAACCTGGGTTCTGGGCCATGCAACCTTCCTTTTTCATGGCCCTAGTGAGGGACAGGTGGTGGAGTGTGCAGATAAATGTCTTTTTTCCTGCACAAGCCCATGTTTGGAATTCTCCACAAATAACCCCCTACATTAGATTTGTACAAGCATATTTATTAACCTGGCCCCATGCCTGAGCAGAGAGAGGAAAGGGTAGATGTGTGGACGTCCTCAGAAAGGCCTCAATAGCAAGTGCATCCTGCAGATGATGCAGCGTGAGGCTTGAAAAGTGGAAATGCTCAAAGGAGTGGTTAGGTCTTACTTGTTTTTCCTATTGTTACTGTGGCAAAGGAGCCCTGGAAGGGGGAGGGATTACACATTGGGCTGCAATGCGCAGGGTGAGCAGTTCAAAACCACCTTCACGCTACAGGAGAAAGGGCTTTCTAGCAATGTAAAAAGTTACAGTCTTGGAAGTCCACAGGATCAATTCTGTCCTGTCCTATAGAGTCACTATGAGTCAGAATCCATTCAATGGCAGCGAGTTTGAGGTTTTATTAGGTACAGGCAGGAGACAGATGGGGCTATCTGATTCAGGAAATAAAGCCCAGGCTGGGAAACCCTTTGGAGCCATTCTACTCTGCTGTGGGGGTCACTATGAGTTAGAAATGACTCGATGGTAATGGATATTAACAAAAAAATAAATCTCACTGCCATCAAGTTGATTCTGGCTCAGCGACCCCACAGGTCTCACTCTCTCACTGCCATTGTCTTAGGTACAGGCAATATGTACAGTGGGTGCTTTTAAAGCTACATTTTATTTTCATATGTGGGCTGTTGGGTGCCATCAAGTCGGTTCCAACCCGTAGTGACCGACCCTATGTACTACAAAATGAAACCCTGCCCGGTCCTGCACCATCCTCGCAATTGTTCCTGTGCCTGAGCCCATTGTTGCAGCCACTCTGTCCATCCATCTCCTTGAGGGCCTTCCTCTTTTGGGCTGTGCCTCTGCCAAGCATGATGTCCTTCTCTAAGGACTGGTCTCTTCTGACAACCTGCCCACAGTCTGTAAAATGAAGTCTCGCCATCCTTGCCTCTAAGGAGCATGCTGGCTGTACTACTTCCAACGCATATTTGTCTGTCCTTTTGGCGGCCATGGTACTTTTAATATTCACTATGTGGGCACATTGTTAATCTCACTTTCCATGTGAGGAACTGAGGTGCAGCGAAGTTACACGACTCCTAAGTGACAGGATTCAACTGTCATCTGAAGCCCAAGGCCTGATTCATAACTACTGGCTCCAAAAATAGTATAACGAGAAGGCTGACACGGGGAGCTGTTCCATTGCTGCCCACCACCAGATTGGCATCAGACCAGGCAGGGTGGAACATGATACCTCGGCCCTGCTTTTCCATTTGCTGTGCTGTTGGCTGCTGGGCATGGGTGCTTCTGGTTGGGAGGGTTCTCCCATTCTTAGCAAAGTGCCCAACTGTGCTGTCCAGTCGGTAAGCAAGGCAACCTGGCAAGGGACATTGCTTTGTACTCTGAATTGCAGCATTTTCACCGGGGTTTTTGAGTCTTCCTGGCTGACTGCAATCCTGACCAATGTTCTTGTGTCCTCATGGTTTGGTATCGGGAAAACACAGGTGGTGGAGTTTCACAGCCCTGAGTTCATAACCAGACACTCCAAACTCACTGCCATTGAATGGCTTCTGATTCCTAGCAATCTAGAGGACAGAATAGACCTGCCTCAGTGGAAGTGTGAACTTACGATGGGAGCACAGAGTCTCATCTTTCTACTGCGGAGCAGTTGGTGATTTTGTTTTTTATCATTTTATTGGGGGCTCATACAATTCTTATCACAATCCATACATATATCCATTGTGTCAAGCACATAGATACATTTGTTGCCCTCATCATTCTCAAAATATTTGCCTTCTACTTGAGCCCTTAATATCGGCTGCTCATTTCCCCCCTCCCACCCCGCTCCCTCCTCCCTCATGAACCCTTCATAATTCATAAATTATTATTATTTTGTCATATATTACACTGTCCGACATCTCCCCCCACCCTCTTCTCTGCTGTCCATCCACCAGGGAGGAGGCTATATGTAGATTCTTGTAATCGGTTCCCCCTTTCTACCCCACATTCCCTCCATCCTCCAGGCATCGCCCTTCTCACCACTGGTCCTGAAGGAGTCATCTATACTGGATTCCCTGTGTTTCCAGTTGCTATCTGTACCAATGTACATCCTCTGGTCTAGCCAGATTTGTAAGGTAGAA